CAGCTGACAAAGCTTTACTAAAAAACATTCTCAGAAGAGCATGATAAACAGATCCATACAAGCTCTGGTTGCCTAAACATTCCCAATTTCTTGTGTTTCTAGACAAAATCCCATCCACCTCGAATTTAACGCTAAAGGTCTCAATGCCATCAGCTAGCTGGAGTTCAAAACCCTTTCCCCAGATGCCTCCTCAGCTTGAACCTGGAGACCCAGAGGGTTCCCAGTTGAATAACATTAACCTATTAATCCAAAAACATCACTGAAAACTAAACGCTGCTACCACAGACGGGAAGTCTGGGAGCAGGGAGGTTGGCTTGTCGGTACGGGCACAGCGCAAAGCCGTCGAGCGCTGCAGAGCCAGCAGCGGAGCCACCACTGAACCACCGCCCGCTTCCGGCAGAGGTGAGCTCCAAGGGAGCCTATAAACCACGCTACGAAACGGCACTTCAGCAACATGAGATTTCTCAGAGGAGCTTTGAATGTTTACCACAACAAATGAGCAAACAGCAACACCACTGCTCCTTGGTGGTGGTTCCTACCCAGGATGGACGCGATGCGCCCCGGCTGCCGGGTAAAGATCTTCACCGCTTTGCACTAAGCACGCGTTCAAGGCGTTCCACCCCATCCACTCGAGACACCGCCGCGTGAGAACAGCCATTCCTCAGATGTTTGCTGCTGAACAACAGCCGCAGCAGCGGGGGAGCAGCAGGGTGGCTTGCTGGGTGCCATGTCAGGCGATGCTGAAAACACGGACCCCGGGGCCGAGAAGTGGCCAGACCGGGGATCAGTTCAGCTCAGATCAGATGAGCACGGGCACGGTTCCGCCTTCTGCCCTCCGGTACAGGCAGCAACCCTAGCCTGCAAGAGTCAAGCTCTTCACAAAGACACAAGCAGCTTACATTCCCCTGGCTTTAGCTGTCACAAGGGTAAAGCTTTCCTGCTCAGACACTGTTCTTTTGGGTACTTCACCTGTGTTAAGTTCTGACACGGCAACGGACTTGGACTTCCCCGTGTCCTTAATGTGTTAGGTAAGTCTGCATAGCCTGGTGTCCTGCTTTCAACAGAGCCAGGAACCGATACTTATCAGAAAGCTGTTCAGGAAAAAAAGAAAATGCAAAATCCGTACATACTTTCCTTGGCTCTGCCTTTTGCATGCAGAGTTCCTGGGAAGCTGGTGAGGTCAAGAGCGGCTGCACCCAGCTCAGGAGCCCTCCTACAAACACATCAGCACAAGTTGTGCTGCATTTGCTGGAGCGGCTTGACTGAATCTCGCCAGTTCTTTGCTCAGAAGACTGCTAAAACCATGCATGTTTCTTTCCAGGATCAGAGCGTCACCCACGTTCAGCAGACGTCATCACCTTCATGTGAAAAGTGGGCTTTTAGGCCCTTCTGTAGCTTTGGGCAGATTCTGACAGCTGTGTTTTATTACAACGGCTTTACAAGCAATTTCTGCAGCAGCGTTAGCAACATCATCTACTGGGGACATCGTCACACGAGCTCTTTGTTACCCTGGAAATGGGAATTATCATTTCTAGATTAGGCAAAGCAGCACTGCCTGAATCTTGGCCTCAAAACCCCATACTCAAGCTATTGGCTTCAGGCACAGCTTCCATATCTCTCTCTCTAGCACTGTGGTATTTGAGCAACTTCTTAAGCTGCATTACTTCTTAGGGTGAGGTGGGTTTGGCTGTATGGAGCCAGCAGGGAGATTATTTGGCTGTCTCTTAAATTGTTTAGCTACTTTTGTTGCATTTCAGCCCTGTAATGATCACATGCCTCTTCTGCACTGGCATCCCTCCGTTGCGCTTCTCTCCAGAAAGTCATTGTTGAGCTTGGCAAGTGCTAGATGTGTTTTTATAAATAAACCACCAGCATTCCATGCAGGACCAATTTCCAAAACTAAAACCTCACCCCTCAGAAAACGTATGGGAGGATAGATCATAAAGAGATGAAGGAAGCAGAGCAGAGCTGTTCCCAGCTCAGACAATCCGAACCGCTCCTTCTGCTGGGGCAGCCTCTCTTGGTTTACCACCTCCTGACAGAGCTGCAGTCCTGTCTCTCCATAGCTTGTGATTTTATTACGTGAAGTCCTACCAAACTCTCACAGAGCACCTACTGCAGACAAATTCAAAGTAGGATTCCCGAGATGTGCCTTTTTATGAGTAGGCTGTTGGTCTGTTAAAAGATTACTTGTCAACAGACACCTTCCTCACCTGTAAAAAAAAAAGCAGCAATTACAGTAAAACCCCAAGGCTGCTTCTGAAGAGTGCTGACCACCAGTAAAGCATTTTATACGCATAGTCTTACAAATAAATCCAAGGCAGGGATATTCCCAGTGCGACTGTAAGGCCCTGTATTTAAAAGCGCAGCCTGCTTAACCAGAGCACAAGCAGTCAACAGCAAACGTTACCAAGTCTGGAAGAGCTAAAATTCATTCAACTCTTCATACATTAGATACTGATTTTTTTCTTCTTTGGTGCTTTTTACTTTTCTTTTAACCTCATTAAAGCTTGCCTTTCTGAACTTTAGGCAGTTGCCGAGAAAAACTGCAGCGCTAAAGGACTTTGCAGAAACAGTTGGAGGGCAATGACACAGTTAAACCATCCTCTGAGTTCGCATCTTTCACAAAACACTTCCCAGGCCTTTCTAAACTAATTTAACTCTCTCTACACCAAAAGCAACTAGAACATGCGCCTTCAAACTAGTATCGCCCTTTCCCCAACTTGTCAGTTTTCTCTAAGACAAAACAGCTGGTGAGGATGTCCTCGCTGTCTTCAAACACGTGGAAGGACACAGGTTGTGTTTCGCCTCGATGCAGAACAGAACACAAACAAAACAAACGCTCAGCATCGTTCCCAGGCTGGAAAAGCTGTGAAGGTGGTGACAGCTCCAGCTTTGTGGCTTGCTTGAATACTGCTCTACTTAGTAATCCAGCTGGGTAGTGACTGCTTAAAGACGTTAGTGCGCTCAGCCTGGGGGAGAAAGCTGGGTTGGAAGCTGAGTAGGTATTAACGGGAGCTAGAACTGTTGCCCCTGATATCGGAAGTGCCAGCCTTTCCAACCTCTCCCTGGGAGGTAAAAGCTGAGACCCCCCTCCCAGGGAAATCGGGGAACCAGATACACGATCGGTGCCTACCTCGGCGCAGCCAGGTTTTGCTTGGCTCAGCCGTTCCTTCCTCTCCCCGCAGAGCTTCGAGGGCTGAAGGCGCAGTCCCCGTGCAGCCTTTGCGCAGCGCGGCGTGCCAGCGCAGCTGTGCTGGGGAACAGACCTCAGGCAGCGACACATCCCGCTCCCTTCTCGCTGCTGACCACCGCTCTCCTCGTTCGCCCCACCCAGCAGCCACTGCTGCCTCAGACCTGCCAGCGCAGCAACGTGCCACAGCACCCTCCAGCCTGCTTCGCTCAAAACCATCGCACCAGCTCCGATACGATAAAACCGCAGACTTTTCTAGCTTCACTCATTTTTGACAGAACCAAGTTAGGAGTATCAGGTCTCAGATCTTTTATCTTACACAAAAAAACAGATACTGAATTTATCTGCCTACAGTTTGCCCTTCTAAAGCCTCACCCACACGTTAGATTTTATAATATCACTAATACACATATACCTCAAATAACACTGTTTTAAGAACAAGCCATCCAGAACTCGAGACAAATGTGTCTTCTGACAGAGCAGTGACAGTACCTGTGCTTTCCAGGAGAAACCTTAAAAAGACACAGTGAGGTTATTGGAACTTACCACGACCAGGAATGTCCACCAAGTTAGGGAGGTGGCTTACAAACATTAACAAACGCCATTTCTGTCCCTTCCTTTGTGTGAGGCCGTGGATGTTGTGCAGCTCTGTGCCCAGTTATCAGGACTGTAACTACAGACCCTGAGAACTTGCATTTATAGTATTTCACCCACCGGAGAATGGGATGAGCAGACATTCTCTCTTGCAGGTTTGTGATGGGAAGGCGGGACTGGACACAAGCTGATGGTGGTAGTGCTCGCTTCCGAGTCCCACCAAGCCAGCTCTGCAGCGCGCAGAGTGACCTTGTCTGAGGAGGAGTGATAATTAACCTCCCTTGTTTCTTCAAACCTTGGCTTCAGTGCTGAATCCCAAATGCTTACAGCACGTCTGCTGCACCTCGCCTGCATCTTATCTCAAAGATGAAACAGCTCACACAACGCTTGTTTGCTGTCACCCCCACTTCAAAAGCAGCAATTAAAAAGTACAGCAATATGTAGCAAATTACCTTTTTCTTTTTTTTAAGCCATCCCACCTGGTATTTTGAGTTATCCTGGCCTGGACCCAACATGCTCCTTGGCAGCACAAGAGCACACCGCCATCTGCCTGTTCCTCCCGAAGGCTGCAGGGCCACCAGCGCACTCCTAGCAAGGAATGTGGGCACCCGGGACTCCAGTCTCAGAGGGACGGACAGACGGAAGGAAAGAAGGAGGGAGCAGGGAACAACTCTGCAAGCCTGGGACAGAGGGCACGGACAGCAAGCAGGCTCACCACTGACCCAAGTGCAGATTTCTGCAAAGTGCACAGAGCTAGGGTCTGCAGCAGGGCCATTTCAAACAAGACTATTTACTACTTAGAACACACCACAGGAAGACAGTGAATGCGTAAGGAAACGCATGCAAGTGAAGTAATTGCGAAACAGTAAGATTTCACAAATAAAACAATCAGCATTTATTGTTGTATTACAAAACACTTCATATTTTGGCAATATTTTACAGTTTATCCTTTTCCTTCTTAGGGCCTGCTGAAAAGGTATGGGGGGGGAAGGGGGGAAGAAAAGAGGAGAATGTTGAAATCAAGATTAAATTTCAATGTCTTGCTTAAAAAAAAAAATCCTCCCAAACCACCCCAGTCCCTCCCACCAAAATAAAAACCTAGTTTCACTCAGTTCCACTATCCAAAGAGGCCATGGGTGAAGCGGCAGGCAAAACTCTGGCAATTTCACTATCAAACGCATCAAGAAGACAAACAAAATATTCACAGTGGTCTTCAGTATGGTCTGTTGCGTTGATCATTTCTGAAATCATTTCTGAAAGGGAAATAAAAAGTTATAAGGAATCCCTTAAGCAAATCACAAATAGTGTCTTCAGCCAAACGTCTCTACACCGACTTCTGCGTATTCTTCTATGTTTAGATAGCCTTATCCAAAAACACTCACAGAACACCCTCAACAGGCAAACTGACTTATTTTCCCCGGAAGCTCCTATCTGTAATTAATATTTTTCAGAGCACAGTTGTGCGTGCACACATAAACAACACTTTTCCCACAGTCCCCATCAATTCCACAGTCTGCACGCTATGCAACCAAGCAAGGACACAGAAACTGCTTACCTTCCTCCCATTTTACCACCATAGCCACCTCCCCGATCACCGCCTCTGCCCCCACGCCCTCGATATCCTCTTTCTCCTCCATAGCCACCTCTCCCACGAAAATCTGGAGGAAAATGCAAACCGACACATCAGCCAGGTTCTTCCAAAAGCCGCAGATGTCATTAACACTTTGGAAGAGATGAGGTTGTTTTGACCAATCTTTTACGCACCTCCTGATGGACGTGAATCTTCTGGTCTGGGATCACCACACTGGTTGCAAGAATTCCTGCGAGCGAAGTTCATATTACCACAGACCCTGGAAAAGACAAGGAGTCCCAGATTTGAGCTGCCAAGCAACTCAGAGAGCATACACGAAACACCGCTGCTAAATTAAAATGACACTTACGGGTTAGGACAAACCCAATCACCATTTTTGGGTTCCCCACTTCTACCCTGGAAGCCCCCACCTCTTCCATATCCACCTCGTGAACCTGTAGACAAAATTATAATCAGAATAAAGGAGGGGAAGCGTCTATGACCTATACATGAGTAATGTTTATTAAGGACTGTTACTGGCTTCAGAACGCATGCGACAGACAGACTTTCCAGGTGGAAGCAAGAGTAAGTGTTTAATGTAAATATACCCCTACTAGGCAAGCCTCTGAAGCCACAGTAGGCACTATGAAAGAAACAGGTAGGGCCAATGACATAAAATTGTAGTACTGCAGAATTCATCATCCACTAGCTGATTTTCTACTAGCTACAAGACAGCTAGCAAGACTTGGGCAAATGACAACAGAAGTTCCAGTCACGACTAAATCTCAACACCATTCGATGTCCTGAAGTTAATGTATCTGCATAGCTGAAATACCCATCTTCATATGGACAGATTTACAACTTGGGCAGATGGGGAAAGATAAGAAGCAAGGATAGCACGTGGGGGCCAGAAAAAATTTTCATAATTTCTTTTCCAGCAGCAAAAGTAAATTTGATCTACTTTAATTGCCAAGGGGTAAACATAAACCCACTATGTGCATTAATAAAATTTCATAAAGATTTAGCGATACATAATATCGATCACATAAGGCCAGACTTAGTCACAGAACAAAAATTTAACAACAAAAAAAAATCTGTCCGGATTAATGCCAGAATGCATCTGACACAAGCATAGGGACAACACAGTTCTTGCTTTCGACATCAAAAAGATTAAGAACTTTTATACCAGCTGAAGTTCTTGAAGAATCATTTTTTTGTCAGCCTACAAAACTGCTGGATTTAAGAACTAGTATCAGTTGACAGCCGCCGCACAAAGCATGCTTCCTGTAAAATGGTAATAAATATCCAGTGGGCTACTGACAAAATTGTTCTATGCAGCGAATTAGGGAGATTAACATCTGTTTAATTACAGGAGTCAGACATCCAACTGCTGCTCTACGTCAGCAGTAGTTGAATAATTTACCCTGCTTAATACCATCCAGAAATCAGAGTATCTCAAGGCTTTGCTGTAGTAACCAAATACTCACTGCGACTTCACACCTATATATGTGGAACCTGGACAGCCTCAACATCATTGTTACACTATCTCTTAAAAGCAGTGCTGAGACATGATCTGGAGACTTTCCAATTCAAAAGCAAAGCATAAATTCTGCGCCGTGCAAGAGAGATTACAGTTTATTTAACTTGGTTCTATCCTTGTTACTCCCTTTCATGGCAGAATCCCAAAGGCCCATATACTTTGACGAATCACAGCTTTAAAGCCAACTTCTCTTTTATAAACCAACAACAGTTAAAAAGCATTTAACTATGCAAAACCAAAGATTCTACAGGTTTTAGTCCCACCTCGACGTCCACCGCCTCCACCTCCTCTCATGAATTCAGGCCTTCTAGTTGCGAAAGAAACTTTGATAACATTGCCATTGAATTCTTTTCCTGTGGAGAGACAGAAAGTGAGAAGATCAATACAGCTCCCAACAACACAGCAGCAAGTTCAGGACAGAAGTGATTTGTACATACAGACTGAATACAAAGCTCTGAAGACACAGGGAGTCTGAAGTAAATCTCTTATTTTTGGAAGTACTGGTCCAAATGTTAGATGGCAAACACCGAAGCACTTGCTAGGTTCTTCATAAACCCATAGATATTTCTCTTAATTTAAATGTGATCTATAAGCTGCAATTTAACTAGACACATAACGTTTAAAAGATTTTTCTTGTGTTGATGGATAAGTAGTTCGGATTTTAGAACTCTGTTTGTCCTTCCCCCAAGTCAGGCAACAGGGCTTTTGTACACTTCAGCAGCCAGAACAAAAGTTACACTCCCAAGTAGGTGCAAACCATGAACTTTTTAAATACAAAGTCTCAGTTCTTCATAGATACAAGGTTTATCACAGAACAGACAGGACTGCATAGGTGCCTAATATAGTCATATTTACTTTACCCTCCAAAACAAGTCAACTAGCATCTTATTAGCAAAACAGAAACCATCAAATAGCATGCCATGACAGATTTTTTATGTGCTATCATTTCACACCAGATGCAGAGTATGTATTTTTGCTTCTGCCCAGTATCATTAAAATTCTGTGAACACAGAAGGTCACAGGAGCAGGCACTTCCCCACCCCTCCAAGTTTACTACTACAAAAGAGCATCACTGTATTTCCTGAAGAGTTCTGTATCAATGTATTTCTGGGATCTGCTCTCTTCCTCCACTGAACCGGTAATTAAAAAATTCTTGTTCTTCACTGCATATATACAAGCACTTGGCACAGGATTGCCATAACCATTGCCAAACTCTAAAAATGCTACCACAACACTAATAATACCAATACTAACACTGTAGGAAATCTTTCCAGCCGCCGACACAGGTTACAGCTCTATTGGAGGTTACGCTCTCCCGAGTGACATGAATACCATCGCTCGTACTTTGTGCAGGGATGACTGAGGTACAGCAGCAAACCCTAGCAGTTTCATTACACATTTTTGGTCTTTATCACCAGCTGCTGTTCCAGTGAACGAGACGGAAAGCCAGCAAACACAAAATACCACGAAACAGAAGTCTTTGTGGAAAAAACAAAACAGAACGAAAGGCAAATAAAAAAAAAAGCCAAACAAAAAGTAGCATGGGGTCCCCAATGGGGTTATCGATGTGCTTTCTTCCGCTGCTTGTTAGACTCATAAACAACAAAAAGAACAGGTACTCTCACCCACCGTCAAACCAGTCAATTGCTGCTTTAGCAGAAGGAGGATCATCAAAAGACACCGTTGCTTCTCCCTTTGGTTTGCCAGTATCCTTATCTGTATAAAGATTTATCATAGGTTTGCCAGTCTTTTTGTTCGTCTGAAAAGAAAGGTTGTACACTTGGCATACAAGAAATACTGGTAAAGCCAGTTCACAGCATAAACTGTAACCGCTAAGTATCACCGGAAAGAAGATTCTCTTGGAGCTAGCCTGCAGAAACAGATGCTTTTGACTGAGGGATACTGACTGGCTGCTCTCCATGAAGTAATGACAGGCCCAGTTCTCACAAAAATTGAGGTCAAGTGCAGGAAGCCCTAATTTAGAATTGCAGAAACAGAAGAAACAGCCATAGAACACAGAAGCATACATGCTGAAGGATGAGGGTAGTACAATGGACAGAGCGTCACTGTTAAGGGTTAGAAAGACTAAAGAAGAGATATGAAGCAATCTAAATGTCACTAGAAGAAAGCTGCTAGTGCTGCCAGCTTACAAATGAGCTGTCATCTGGGAACCCAGATAAAAATACTATCTACAACTGCTGGGGAGTGAGAGCGAGCATCTGCCTTGAATGATACCAGTACATTTCCCATACAGTAGCTCCGCAAGTTCTCTTCCTTCTTACCAACGATTTCTCACTTCGCGTACCTTTATAATACCAATTTGTTTGAAATAGTCTGCCACTTGATCTGTTGAAACATCCTCTCCAAGTCCTTGCACGAAGATAGTGTTGTTATCAGAGTTGTCAGACTCTGAATCTACAAAAAAATAAGTGACATTAACCATGCATTTTTGTGGCAGCAACAGACACAACATTTTAAGCTCAGGTCCATCCTGCCCAGTAGCAGACCCTGAAATCCCAAAGACTTCTTGCGTGAAACAGAAGATGAGCAGAGAGCACAATTTTGAATTTAACACCATCAGCTTCAAAAATGCATGCACAGCACCTTCAGACGCTGCAGTACATCAGAGACCGAATACATTCAACTGCTGACACGCAACTCGTCCACGCAGCCAGGACATCCAAACCCAAACTGATGTATGTTTTAAATAACGCAAGTTTAGCACAAGCGTTAGGGCAGTGAAAGCAGCTGCTCGCCTCAAGCAGATTCAAAGTTCATCAGCAAATTCTTACTTGCTGCATGAAAAGACATCCAAACATTCACATGCACTTTAATAAAATAAATTTCTTTCAAGGCAGACAAGCTTTAGCTAGATTTCTTTTTGCCCATGGGAATTGCAGCCACATCCATCTTTCTAGACATACATTTTAAAAGCAATGACCCAAGAGCTACAATCCACTCCCACCCACTGCTCATTTTCTTACCAGCATCTGATCTCGGTCCATAATCCCTCTGACCTATGAAATAGTTTTTGTTTTTTTTTAAAAAAAAAAAAAAAAAAAAAAGAAAAAGACTATTTTTAGCAAAACATTTTCAAGCTACTTTTTTAGACACAAGAAAATATTTAAAGTATGTATGTAATGCATCTAAGATCTAAAACATTAACCAGAGATCTAGAATGTTTAGATTAAAACGTTCAACAGAAGGTGTCTGTAGGACGTTAACGTGTTCTTTAACTTGCAGCATGTGGCAGTTGCCACACTGATGCTATGCTGGTGTTGTCTTGCAAATGCTGGTTGTCAGATCACCAAGCAGTTTACCACGTTTTGGGTTGGTTTTTTTTTAATACCTCTAGTACCTTTCTAAGAAGCATTTGTAACAAAAATTAAAAAAAGAAAATAAAAGAAAATTCCGGTGAATGTCACTGTCTCCACAAATTCTTTCATGCAATTTGACAAAGTAGAAATCCAGTTTATTGCTAAAAGTTTGGCTATTAAAACTCATGAACACACCAGCCTCACCAAAACGCTATAATGCTTCTACTAGATAGTAACAAGATATTGGTGGCTTTTAGATTTATAAAGAATTTCCACTGAAACATTTTTGGATACTCGGCACTTACCACCGTAATTTTTGAAGCCACCACGGTCACCACCACTGCAGAGGAAAAATTGAAGAAATGATTTCTTCCTTAAGTCTCTATGTGCTGAGCCCAAGGCTCAATCTACAGTTAACTGATCACAAGTTGAGAGTTACCGTCTAGCAGCTAAAGCACCATCTCTATGTTCTCCTCACTATTCATTCATGTTCAAAGATTAAGTTACATGAAAGTGAATAATCTCACAGGGTGCTGCACTGGAGCAGAGAAGCCCTAGAGAGTATTTTAAACTAACCATACACATGTCGTCGTTTCAATACTTTCTCCCATCCCAGCAGCCCAAATGACTGCTATTAAAACCCGGGTTTTAAAACAGAAACATTATTTTCATGAAGGTTAATGAGCTTTAATTGTAGATGTAATTGCTACTTTGGAATAATTAGTACTTTAGTCCTTTCCTAGAAGTAAGAAGAGCTGAAGTTAATTAACCTCCATTGTTATGCATTTCTATACAGGGGACAAATTAGCAGTACCAGCCATTCTCTGAGAGAGGGTCGGTGGGGACCTACTGTACTATCAGCACTTGGCATTACAGAGAAGGTGTGTGTATGTGAGCTTCAAAAGCAGAGGCCGTGAAGTTTTATTTCATTCATTCTGAAACCTGTGGCACAAAATGTAGACCAAGTTAAGAGATGACACACATCAATTTTCAAAGGTTAGAAGGGGATTTTAAACAGGACGTTACACCTCCAATCACGTGCATGAAAATAAACCCTCACTCTTTTCAATGTAAATGTTCATGCTAGTAGGATTTTCCACAACAGCATTTTTAATTGCATCCATGTTATGAACACGATATAATCAATATTCAAAGCCTTCAGGAAAAATACGACCACTGGATTTTTCAGAAAGTCAGTAACCAAGTGTCTCAAACTGCCATGTACAACTGCCTGCTTGCCCTCCTTCCCATGGGGGACACAACTGCCACCTGAAAATTAGGCAGGTTCCCCTATTCCTGACAGCTGCCACGCTCAGCAGCTCAGATAAAACCAGAGTAAGTTCAAACCCTGAAGCAGAGGGCTATCTCCAGACTCTGGAACTACTGTGCCAGTACAAGCAGCCTCTTCACCAACGCGCTTTACACTCACAAGTCACTCCAGGCTTTAATGCAGTCTATCTGCCAACACATCAGAGTCCAAACACGGGACACAAGCACCCCAGCAAAAAGCAATGAAATTAAATTAGGGAGTGACTTCTTTGGCACTCTGTATCTGTTTTCTGTTACAGCAAATGCAAAGCCATAAATGGGAGGTACTGCTTACTTAACATTTATGAGATAAAATCTGCCCAAAGTGAGGGTCAAATCAGAAATAAGCTTTCAACCGGTATTATCAAAATTGGATTTAGAGAGGCAGTATTTGAAGGGTGACTGACATTCTGTGACAGTATGTATATGGAGTGTTAGATGTTTGTCATGACAGACTACCACTTTCACTGGGACTTTTCTTAAAAGAAATTTCTGTGGCAGATTTTAAATTGTTTCTCCACAGAAAAAACTCGAATGCTAAACTGCAGTGTCATTTACTCTTTGTAATTCATTCTGCTCATTAAAGAGGTCAAAGGAATGAATTTTATAGGCAACATCAGAGCCGGTCTTCATTCAAGGCTGGCTACTTTCAAGTACTGCTGATAACACAAAGGTGATCATAAAATTTACTGTAAATATCTTTCTGCCACCTCCAATTCATTTCAGCTAAAAAAAACCCCTTCATTCTAACACAACAACTTTCAGTAGGATGCTTGCTCTTCTAGGATTGTAACACAGAAATAACAAGAGTGAAAACATCATCATGGAAATGTTACCCAAGTTCTCCAACCCTAGATTCTGGTCCCAATTCATAAGGACAGCATTATCCCAAACATGTATGTTTTCTGATTTAAAAGTATACAGCAGCAGAGACATAAATTAGAAAACCCAACAATCTAAAAATATACAGAAAGTAAGTTTGTGATCAACACAGCCAGGGCTTTACAGCAAGGGAGGATTTTGCTAAGATACTGGGGTAAAAATGTGTGCATCACGACTCTGGGAAGTGACAGAGTTGGAGATAAAAAACGTAAAGGAAGTCCTAGTCAAATGACTATGTTATACAGTAGTTCTGCACCCCGCACTAACAAGTGCAACCCACAATTTTCAATTAGCTTTTAAATTAATGTCTGTAGAAACATGTTTTCGCGCAAGCATGCTTCAGCATGTTATCTTCTGCTTAGTCTCACACGACCAACCCAACAAAAACCTGCATCAATTCAGTGACAGATACCTTTGATGACAGATTAATGCTTTCCTCCATTTTTAAGTCACATTTCATGTGTGATTTATAAAGCTGCAGTGTGTTACCTTCCTGAGATCGCTGGGCAGAGCTACCCAAGATCCCCAGGAGGCATATGGATATGCTGCAGCAAGTGAAGTCAAACACAGAAACTGGTTGCAAGCAGCTGATTTCACAGTCTGAGATTTAGATTTACCCCTCACTGAGACCCAAAATACAGGTCTCAATGTCAGCAACTGAATTATCTCCCACACTATCGTCATAGAACATGTGGAAAACAGAACTGTAGCGTTTCACAGTCTACTGCTTTACCAGTCTTGCACACAAACCAAACAGACAGGTGACCAGATGGAGTCTGGAGTTTCAACATCCTATGTTAGAATCACCAACAGCCTGCTACAATTTAGCAATGCCACTGACAAAAATAATAAAACAAAAGACTGAACTGCAAGCAGCCAGAATGCATACGTGGCATCATTCATAGTGACAAATACTTACTGCTATGAAAGAAACATCTTCAGATGTTCTTTTCTCCCTATACTCAGTCATATATTTAAACATCACCTACTTGAGCGTAAATGGAGTTCATCTGAGCATTGCTCACTTCAGCTGGGAATAACTCTTTGAATTAAAGGCACAGTTACATGGAGAGCTCAATACTACAGATACAAGAAACATACTTAAAAAAAGTGATCAGATATTGGCAGAGGTAGCACTAAAAATTCAGGACCAAATTTCAGCCTCCAACATGTATCTATGTCTCGCCACGCGTGTGGGAGTTACACAAGAATGTATTTTTACAAACAAGAAACGAATGCTTAGTGCACCAATAGAGTCGCTGACAGATGGTCTGGTTTTTTGCTGCCTATATTTATTGCCTCTGTTCATGTTTTTCCAAAATCTATATAAGACTAACCTCAAGCATATACATTACAAGTCAAAATATTAATTCTGAGCACAAACCACACTGCTGTAAAAACCATTTGCACTAAGCTGTAGTTTCCTTATATCACAGCAAGCTGATCCCCACTCATAATAGCTAATACAGCAATTCTGCTGCGTAGGTAACTTTTGTTTGTAGTACATAAACATCAAATCTGCAGAAGAAAACAAACAAATCTATGCTTAGCAAAGTTAGGATTTCTATGACAAATCCTAACGCAATGCTAAATCCTTTTCTAAACTGCATCTAGGTAGTTCCACCAACACAGACTGTGTGAGCAGACTCAAAGGCAAAGCCTCTCCCACGTAATCCAGACTCCAAAAGAAGGGCAGAGTCGCAGGTACAGCTGCGCGACTGCCTGAACGGCTTTCCCAAGACGAGAGAAAACAAACCTGCTTTCTGTTGCTACGGTATTCCCATGTATTTGTTTAACCAAAACAATTCAGTTCCACAACCACAACGAGCAATTAATTTCTTACCTTGCAGATGAGGACTCTAACAAAAAGGTGACTTATTCTGCAAGGAAACTTGGATGAATAACTTAGATTAAATCTCTGTAATCTCAAGACCTGGTACCTGCTTTCTAACCAAAAGAGCTCAAAGATGAGACTCTTCTACTATGGGTATTAAAAAAAGAAAAGATTTTGCCACTTAGAGAAAATACAAATTAGTGAGATCATCCATTTTTCAAGCTTCAAAATGAAAGGGTGGAAAAATTCCACTAAAATCCCAAAAGACGTAATTCAAGACCATTAAAAAAAATCTAAAGAATAATTTTGAAAGCCAAAGTTACAAGATTAAAAAGTGAACATCTGACGCACACGAGAATTATTGTTCTCTATTGTAACAATATCAGCTCGGGAATCTGAACAGTAATTTCTCAAAAAACATTTCCTTCTCAGTGCTGCATTACTTTGCACAGACACCAAAGAAAAACGAGTGCAGAAAGCATTTACCACAGTACATATTCAAGTCATTCCAGTATTCAGAATAATGATTCATACCTTAACACTACCAACTGTTTGAAGTACTTTTGTAAAGGTTATTCAAAGAAATGAAAGCTCTCAAAATGTAAAAATGCTAATTCAATTTTGCCCCAAGTATCCCAGAATAATTTTTTGCACTTGCAGACTGCTCTGAGAGGTCTTGCATGCAGGATAAGTTTTCAGAGGCCAACGCAACTCGCAAGAATCTCGCGGGAGAACTGATGCTGCAGCCAAAGTCCCTGTATCACAAGTACAGGGCGGCAGCAAGTCAGCGATGACGCTTGTGAACAGGATGCGCTGATGGCCCAGCACGACGGCAGATTAGGAAATGCAGCTGTCAGAACACCGACGACTGGGTGTCTTACCCGTGAACAGCAAGCTGCAACAAGTTCTCCCTGCACTGCAACACCAGTCAAGACAAAGTTTTTATTACTAGCTAACACAGAAGGGATTCATACGCTATGGTCTCCAGTTAGCTACTAAATATTTTTTTCAAAAGGAACAATTTTTCTGTGTGTTGACAGAGCTCATCTTCACGTTATTTTCTAACCACTACAAAAACCAAACCCTACATTATTACAGCAGTACAAATACCTGTGCAGACAAGATTTTTAGATTATTTCTGATGGCTATAGAATTTCCACAAATCAGTGTTAAGCATTACAAAGTAACTGAAGTAAATAACTGAGAATGGTAACTAGTCACTGGAGATAAACTTGACATTCCTACACAAGCTGCTTTTAGGAAAAAACAAAAAAAAATAAACCCCAGGAAAAAAAACCAAAAAACCCTACCCTGAAACCTCCCATTTTCACAGGGCTCAACACAATTTCTTACCTTATTAGAAGTTGTTTTCCCCTTGATTACAGAGTTTGTTATTTAATTTAACTTTTTACACTTTTCTAACAAGCATGACCTTGGTAAAATATGTATGTCAGAAGCAGAATCCTCCATCATAATTATGCAGGAAGACTGAATAAACAACACTGTAGTTTCAGAAAAATTTCACTGCAAATGGCATTAAAGACGGTTTCACTTAAGAGAAGCAGACAGACTTCCTAATAAATGCCTTCCCACTTCGCTGTATTTTTCCCCACTTCTCCATTCACCTCCTCGCTTTTCCTTCTTTCGGCTTTCAAGTCCACTGATGTACGATTATCTACATGCATGTGTGAATAAAATTTTTCTTACATTTTGGAAAAATTTGAGAAGAGGCTTTATTTTCACAGACATTAATTTACCTTACTTTATCTTGCAAAGAAAGCAGTTTCTTTCAAAGTGATAAAATCTACCAAAAGTATGTTTTTTGAAGCTCACATTCATTCCTCTTATTGGAAAGGGCTCAGCTACAAACGATTTTAAAAAAAACCCATATTTCATCATAGGAATACAGAAAACCCTCAGCCACATAGAAAAGATAATTTAAAAAAAAAAATATGTTCAGTTTTAACTGAAAATGAACTTCAACTTTACTTTACTAGTGAAGTTTATAGCATATAAAACCCCAGCAAACTGTACCATAAAAGAACTATTAATACACTTTTGTAATTATGCTACCACACCTAATTAGGATATATAGGGTCCACCTACATCATCAAAACAGCAAGCCATGAAGTACAATTTGGGAGCACCTTAGAGGCAGGAAAATTTTAAATATGGTTTAAAAATAAATACTTTAAAAAGTAATCATGTCTTCATACACTGTTGGATTATTTCACCTAAATTAGATCAGTTTGAACAAACAGCAGAGTATAATCAGAGTTCTTCATCTGGAGTTCTAGCAATAACCCAGAACTGTGCGGCCTGTTAAAGGCCAAGTGGTGCTGACAAGCAACGCTTCACAGCTCACTGGAAGCGTCAACGTTCTTACTTTGCATCCCTGAGCACTCTCCACCCTCAACCATTTCACAGAGGTTAATAAAGGGAAGCCAACTGTGATAGTTTATTAAGAAATAATAATATCATCTGGTCTAATTCAACAGGATTTAAAGTGAAGGTCCCAGTCTCTCAGACCTAGGCATGAAATCATCTGCAAGCACAAAATTAAACATGTGCATAAATTTTCTTGACAGGAACAGCGCCCAAGGCAACTGCAGAAGGGGTAACAGCATTGTTAGTCTTTAAAATTTACTTAAAATAAACGTGTGTAGACTAACGGCTAAACCAGTAACAAAAACTGTATTTTAACAGTTGGGGACAATCTTTTTAGTAGAGACAGCAGTGACAGGACGAGGGGTAATGGTTTTAAACTAAAACAGGGTAGGTTTAGGCTGGATATAAGGAAGAAATTCTTTACAATGAGGGTTGTGAAACACTGGAACGGGTTGCCCAGAGAGGTAGTGGAGGCCCCATCCCTGGTAACATTCAAGACCAGGTTGGACAGGGCTCTGAGCAACCTGATCTAGTTAGTGGTGTCCCTGCTCGCTGCGGGGGGGTTGGACTAGATGACCTCTAGGGGTCCCTTCCGACCCAAAACTTTCTATGATTCTATGAACAGAAGTTTAAAATGGCGAAAAACAGTAAAGCACAAGAAATCTTATTACTAAATTATTCCTAAATCATTTAGGAAGCACAAAAATAATTAGCCAACATTAGTGTAATGATGTGTCACTGTAATGTGAAAATACTTCCCTGCTAAAATGTTAGCTACACATTTATAAAACTTTCTGAATGCCTGCCTGTTGGTTTTCTTGTAATCGAAAACGAATTTTTACAGGTTTTAAAATATCTTATTTCAAGGGACAGGCTCAGGCAGTTTTTTTACTGCTACTCATGTAAACATAGTGCAGCTATGTGTCATAACATTCAAATGCTTGGTCTCCATCTATCTGAACCTAACGCTTTTCCTAGGCAAAACGCATTTCTGTGCGGTGCAGAAAGGTTTAACATTAGAAACATTCCATTTTTGAAAATCTAATTCTGAACCACATTAGGAATAGACATATAGTAAACAAAAGTTTAAAACGGCTAAATAATAAGAAACAAGGGTAAGGAACTGCAGGCACTGGAATGAGGTCACTTACCTATATCCAGACATATGACCTCTTCCATCCATGTCATATCCCCCTCTACCTCCTCCCTGTGACCCGCCATATCCTCTATTATCTTCTCCATACCTACTCTTTTCACGACGATCATCTAAAGGAATGAGTAAAACAAATCAAAACATGAGTAAGTTGTAGTGCAAACTGCAGTGAAAATTCCCACCCCACAATTCCTCCCCCCAGCCCTGGTCTGCTATTTAAATCTGGAACGCATCAACTCCGAAACCTCTCTTACATTATCTATACCACAAACTAATGGAGCAAAATCTGATTTGTTCCAGTTCTCTCCCTTGGCTTCCAGGGCCACAAGGTATCTTGGAGTGTAAACACTCTGTACTTTAATCACACTCCATTTTCCAATCATTAAACACATACTGTCTAAAATACACTTCTCATTCTACTTCCATATAGCCTTCCCAGTTTGCAAAAGACATCACTGAAGACACAACAAGGGTAAAGAGCGTGGGCTGTGCCGCTTGTGTGAAGTTACTTCAAAAAAGCATTGATCTTAAACTTCTCATTTCCTCCTATCTCAGAATTCACCTACACAGCATAAAGCTGGAATGTGAAAAGTGCAAAAGTTCTTCATGACTGATGAAGACATGTCACCCTCATGCAGGAAGAAGGTTTGAAATAGGTTAGGAAGAAAATTCCATGTAGAATTTGCAGAACTCAGGGAGACGGATTGTGCCAGGCGGCCTCCAACAAATGAAACTGCAACAATTTGGGGGCCCCAACAGTCTGTCATCTCTGCACAATGTTTCAAGTCTTAATAAAGAAAACATTCCCCAAGAATATCAACATGGAAAAAGAGCTTTAACTGTTCATCAGATCATCTGTCTGTGGAAGGAAATCCAACTATTTCACAGTGTTTCTGCTCAATTTTATTAGCCAATACTGAATTCAACCTGCGAATTTTACCTTGGCTGTTGTGGCTATAGCTTCCCTTCTGAGACTGGTAGGATTGCTGAGAATGGCCATATGAGCTTTGGTGCTGGTTATAGCCTGACTTTTGGTCATAAGAGCTCTGGTGGCCATAGCCCGACTGCTGGTCATATGAGCCCTGGTGGCCATAGCCCGACTGCTGGTCATATGAGCTTGACTGCTGGTCATAAGAGTCTTGGTTTTGTCCATAGCTTGACTGCTGGTCATAAGAGCTTTGGTGCTGACCATAGTTTGACTTTTGTTCATAAGAGCCTCTTCCACTTAAAATAAACAGAATTTGTATTAATAGCTAAATGTTCACAGAACAGAGAGCAAAATAATGGCTGATAATTCATGACATTGCTAAAATTTCCTAGTCACAGTTACCTCCCAGTCACTACTGCCATACAGATATGAAAATACTCTATGTTTCGTCTCTGTTGGGATGTATCCAGCTTCCAGTAAAAGCAAGACAGAAAACTGTATGTTACCATGGCTTTCAAGACATCCTGTTTCCACTGTAAATGTAACTTAAGAACATCACTTCCTTACATATCCCAGTACAATGCTTGCTTTCTCCCCTCTACCCAGTAGCATGACAATGGCTGACGGACAGCCCATGACCTGCTAGCTGCCAAATCCTTCCTTACAGATCTGCAGGGAAGACATCAACTGCTCATGTTGTATTGTGCAGCTGACACTTCTGCCTACAAAAAAAAAAAAAATCCCAAAATTTTGCTTTTACTGAGTTGCAGCCTGTCTTTTTCTGGGTGTTCTACCATTTGGTCAAGAACTTTAACTCTTACGACATTCTCTAACATAGTAGCAGCTCTTCCCACTTTAGTGTCACCTACATATACTATCCCACCAGCTGGCACCAGAAACATTGACCAATATCAAACCTAGGATATTCGAAAACAACGTGGGTGTACTTCGGAGAGGGAGTCATAACTCTTCTCTGACTAGTAACAACTTTACAGCCACCACAAGGGAATCTCACCCACACCATACTTCCCAGCATGCAACACAGAAACAGAAGTATTTCGAAAACCTAGATATATGAGAGAATAGTTCCAGTTGGGTTACCCTTTCACAGTAAGGCATTGTACAGATTTATGAGAAGTAAATTGCACCCAGGAAACACTGGCTGTCACTCACACCTTTGTTTTCCCCCCGGGTACTCAGTTGCAGCTTAAGTGTATTATTTTTTCAGTAACCGAAATTAATCACTGACCTCTGCCACCCTTTCTTCTCTTCCTCCTCCCTGCTTCCACTCTTTTTCAAGAAACGAGGCACTACAGTTGCCACTCTCCAGTCTTTGGCAATCTTACTTGCTAGCCAAAATGTCTCAGAAAAACAAACAAAATCTAAGTGCCTAAAGAAAGCTTCCAACAGCTTTTCAAAGCACTCTTCAGATAAAGTCATCGCGTCCAACCAATCTAAAACACCTCATCTGTGTAAATACCATCTAATCTGCTCCCTCCAATATTCTAGCCTAGATCTTAGCTTTAATATAACTAATCTCAGGGGCAAAAAGAGTGTGAAGATTTTTGTAAATATCTTCAGTTCAGAAAAAGTCAGCTTCGCTTTAGCCTTTGCACCATCACCAACTAAGAAAGCATCGTTGAGAGCATCCACTATTTGCTGATTTTTCTTCATTCCCCCCCTTAAGATGCGAGAGCTACAATTTTGTGGTCATCCTCTTCAAAGCTGCTGTAATTTAATTTCTCAGTTTCTCCTTACTTGTTACAACCACACATTGAAAAGTTTCCCTTCAATGTCTTTTTTTCATTTTCTTGGTCAAAACCAACTTGTTGGAGTATCTATGCCCTGCTGCATTTTTTCCCCTCTAGATGTCTACAGAGTTAAAAACTACTTTATTGCCTAGTCCTGTACCTTTGTACAGCTCTAATAAATGCTCAGAAAACCAAGCAAATCAAAACTTAACCATGTTCCTTCCTTCTTTAGGGATGTGAAAAAGACACTGGGTGACAGCACCTACTGCTGACAGATTAAAACTTTGCTTGTTTATATTACGAAGTTTTGTAATAATAGCTATAAAAAACAGAAACTAAGTACAGGTCTGCTGAAGTCCAGATTATCAGCTTGCAAACAAATACAAAAATATTTGGACCTTGGACACAAGAATGAAGTTTAGTATATGACTGTGTATTTTGAAAAGGTCACATGGTCCTCAATAAAGATCTAATGCAAGCAGTAACCTTGGGGTGTATACATGAAGCTTGTAAATTAGATAATGAAGATATTCTAGCACCAAGTGGCCTTGTAAGCCGTTACAGGAAGTTGGGTTGTATTTTCCATCACACTTTAAAAGCTGTATCGTTAATCCTCCTGAAACTGATCTGAGTAAAACAACACTGAACAAGCAAAACACATTTATAATAGTGTAAATCACTGAATCGGACTGCAGCACGTATACGTGCATTTAAGTTACTGATAATGATATAAAGACACGATGTTTTGAGAATCCTACTTCTTAAATGATATTACTGAATCCCTTCCTTTTCTTTCACCATGAAAACGCATTCTAAGTCAGATAAGAAGTCTGCACATCTAACAGCAGCTAAGAAATTCCTTGCTAACAGCGTATTTGAAGTTAATAAAGAGTACTGTAAGTTTATACAAAAGAATGTGACTGGAGAGGTAGTTGATCTATCTTTTTCTTCATCAAAATACTACCAAGTCCATTCTTCACTGTAGTCACTATCCACAGACTTTCTAAAGTGTATCGCCCTGTACAACTTGACTTCAGAACAAACGCATTCATGCTTCTCATGTAAAGAAATATTCTTCCCTTGCCTCCCGTTTCTTTCAGGTATTAAAAATGTCTTAAGAATGTGGATTTTCAGATGTTTTTTCTTTTCTTAGCAATGATAGAAGGAAATTTGTTACAGCTCTAGTTAAGAATGTACAACTACTACACAGTAGTTCAAATCGATACTGTTAATCTCAACTTCCTTACCCTCTAGACGACCCTTTCTGCTGCCCCTGACTGCCGTAAGACTGCTGGTTGTATGAGCTCTGATTCTGATTTTCATAACTGGATTCATCATCGTATCCCTGGGAATCTTGTCCATAACCTGGAAATTGACAAAGAAAATTTTTAGTAAATATTCACATTTTAATTACTGCCAATGAATGTAACAAGCTAGCCAAACCTGTTTGATTTTGTCCATAGTTCCCATGATAGCTTCCATAGTTCTGTCCGTAGGAGGAATTATCTCCACTCTGCCCATAACCAGAATAGCCCTGCAATTTAAAGAACATACTCAAACGAGTGTAACTTCCACAGAGGATAATGGTAGTTTTCCTTTGCTAGACACGACCGCAAACATCAAGCACAGCTGAGAATGGACTTCTTCCTGGCCCACACACGGTCACACACAAACAATTATTTTCACTCAGGGAACATCTGCTTTGAAAGACACAATGCTTTTTTTCAGCTTACCTGTGTTTGTCCATAATTTTGACTGCTCTGATTGCCATAGGACGAGTAACTGTAAGAGAAAAATGCGTTTAGTAAATGCTTACAGTGCCCTCCAAGTGGGTTGGAAAGTAAAGGTATTTTTGGTGTTATTTTAAGTTTCTGTTCACTCCAAAATAGTTGTTTAATCCAAGTACTGCAATTATAGGCATATTAGCAATACATCAATAAAATAACAGTTACTATAGCTGACCGGCAGAAGACAGGTGAGCTTATTTTAATTTCTGCTCTGTTTCAAGTGCACGTTTAAAGTACATGAAAGTCAGGCTTATTGTAATTGGACACATTCTTCAAATCACTGAAAACATTACTGTATGAAACCAAGGCATTTTAAGTTTTTCAGTATATTGTCCCAAAGTTAATTATATTTTAATCAATTACTGTCAGCTTGGTGTTTGCTGGAGTACTCCAACATCACCATCATCAAAAAACACACCAGCTTTAGATTACACTTACGCCTTATTCTGCCACTTTAGGACTTCAAGAACTGACAGAAGAACCATGTGCTGAAACTCATATCATACTCACGTATAAACTCCAACTCACACAGTGCTATGTGCATAGAACCTTGTGACTTTCATTAGCACAGTCAGTATTAGCTGTGATTTTCATGCTCCCATAAAAACACTTGCTTTTCACCGATTGAAATACTCCCCCCAAACTCACAGCTATTTTATGAACTGGCTTTTACATTTCACAATTACAAACAGTCATCAGAGGCTTTTAACAAAAATTTCCCTCTAATAGGAAAATAAAATGGAAAAATAAAATTTTATATGTACATGGCCCATCATCTTCATACGTGTATGGCCTTTGACTAAAACCTTAGTGAACAGCTTAGGGCAGTCATACGAAAAATATTTCTCTATATTCATGACATTTTAAAAGTTCTTACTACTAAAAGATGTCATTCCAATTCAAACCTGCGTATTGTCTTCCATTCAGGAATATAATTTTTTCTTCCTATTTTACAAGATCTTAATAAAGGCTCAGGGCAGCAAGCTTTCTGCACCTGTAACTCCAAAAATGTACCAACACTGTATCATGCCCAAAGATTCAAACGTCATGCTGGGAATCCTAAACGGCCTTTTATTTTGCAGATTTAATTGCTAACAGCAAAAAAAACCCCACACATACCTCTGCTGGCCCCCAGACTGACTGTAACTTCCAGAATCTAGAAAAGAAGTAAGTCATATTGAGAACTTCTAATTAACATTTTATTCTTGTATTTACTATAAGAGGAAGAAATCTGGGGAGAGTGAGAAAGGTTCAAGTGCACTGGACAATGCAGCTACTTTCCCTGTAGAATAAGACAGTTTCCTCTTTATTAACAAAAAAGAAAGTGCTAAGACTGGAAGAACAGGAGCACAGAAGCACAGGGCGCGGGGGACAACACAGGTACAGCCACTCAGAACTTTCTTTCTGAAGGATCTGAATTGCATTTTCAAGGCATCTCTTAAAACATTCGGGACAGCGCAGCCAAACAGAATGCAACAGCTTAAGTACTCAAGCGAAGCTAAGTACATCAGCCCTACTGAACCCCTTTTTAAGATGCCTTAAGAAAACTCTGCCTAGTAAAAGGACACAGACACAGGCGGAATGTGGAGATGTAAAATCAGGGATGGAGGAACATGACACTTCCCTTCTCTCATCCTGCACAAGGAGAAACATTACTGGTAGCTCAAACCATGCCAGAATTAATTCATTTACACTCAACACAAGTTGTCCAGGCAGGTACTAGGAATACTATTTCCAACTAACATAAAAAGTTATCAGAAAAATTTATTCTTGAAACACATTGGAAGAATGTGGATTTCAAAACAGAACTGCAAGTTGAAAAGAAAAAAAGAAAAATCACTGAAATCATTTCACTTCTATTTAAAGTAAAGCATCTAATTTGTAAAAGCTACCAATGTTACAAAAAACCCTACTACCCGCTAGCTAGAATTCAGTTCTTAAACAGGGTGCTATGTCTTTATGGATTTACCTTATCACACTATTTTATCTCATTAATTGCACAATGATGGATTTCCTTCTCTTCTGCAAAACTGCAAACTTTTATGCATTAAAAGCTCTTACTATAGAGGGCAAAACACACATTCCTACAGGTTTAGTTTCCCTCACATGTGACAGATGCAGACACACAGAACACACAGGCGCTGCTTCATCAACCTCAGACCCTTCAGAATTCAGTCGGTGGTGAGCAGGCTTCACCTCTCCAGCAATACCCACACGCCCCAAGCTGCTCTGCGCCCTGCCAGCTTCTTAGCCACACGGACTCTGCCGACCTCGCTTTCTGTGCGGGAGTCTCAACTCCTCTTGACATTCTTGCGTGAAATTGCCACCTTCTTGTCAAAACCCAAACACTCTTCCCTCCCCTAGCAGCCTCAACAGTACTGTCACTCTGGGTAACAGCCCTGTAATTTTCCTGTTCCTTTCAAATCACTTCAAGAATTTGTACAAATATTGTGGTGCCGAGGTCTAATAACTACCAAGAACTACTCTGTTTTCATTCCTGATTTCAGTCTGTCCCCTGCTCACTCTCTCTAACCTCTAAACCTAGAACTGACTAAAAAACTGAAACCAAGAGTAAATTACAATGCAGGGTAAACATCATAAACTATAAATGACTATAACAATTTTCCAATCAAAACACACATCAAAACTGCCGAAAGTCTGCTCATTATACCTCTCTTATCTAGTTGCAAATCCAGTCCTGCCAGTATTTACACATATACTTCAACACCAGCATATGTACTTTCAAGACAAGGTTATCACCTAAGCTATTCAAACATGAAGACCCATTTTTAACGGTAAAGTACCTCCTCAAGGCAATAAAAAGCATCAAACTTCATATTCTGTAACATTTACCAAAAGCTGAGATGAAATAACATTTCATTTCAGAGGTCCTACAAAGCCTTTTAACTCAGATGTGAAATACGCTCCTCCTTTTGCTCTGCTACACAAATATTTCCATTGACTTTTCCTAATGAGAATAATTTTTTTAGAAGTGCAACTCAGACATGTTTACTGTTTTTAACAAGATGATCAATTTTTTTTTACATTATTTCAAGTTAAATGATCACAAAGATTACTATTAAATAGGTAACAGCATTTTTAAACAGTGCTTTTACTCAAAAATTTATATGCCATTAATGCCACTAATTAAAACAAATATTAATGGTTTTATTCGAAAGAATTCTTGAGTAAGGATGCAATTAGCTACACACTGAAGGACAACATTTAATTCTCCTTGGCTTCTCCCTTAGGAAATTCTGCTAAATCACAAAATATTGGAAAAAAGTTTGAAAGTAACCAGCTAAGGAGCCTGTAAAAAATGAATACATGGAATCGGAGGAACTTCCTTTATTTCTATGTTTTTCTACATCCTTTGTTTGACCTCTTAGTCCATAGACTTCTGATGTATTTATTTCGGTGGGCTCAACGGGGATAACAGTCTAAGTATTTTCGGAAACAACAGATAGTTTATTCTGTAAATTCTTGGATACGTGGACATTTTTTCTGAATGTTTAAAAAGCTCCTGGAAGAATTTCCTGTGAATGAAGTGGGGCATTGCAGACCAGTCATCTTGCACTGCTCAGGAAGCTTATTCCTAAAACAGAAGAATCTGCTGTGAACCTTTGAAAACTGAAGTTCTCATACAAAGAAATTCATATAAAGAAGCAGCATTGCTTCTGTAGTATTCTCAACAGAAAAACAAACTCATGTTTGAACATCATCATAGAGTAAAAACAGAGGAGACGCTCAGGTGCTTGACTGGTAAGTATTTGAGGTCTCGGAAGAAAGTGGGTTTAGTTTACTGCCACACTTTGCTCATTCATGGTCTGCAGTCATTTTACAGTACCTTTGGACATGGTTTCTTCTCATGGTAAAGAGCTGTTCCTTGCACTAAAGGATTCCTTCAACATACCTGGCTTTGTTTTGGTTTTATTCTCTAGCATTCACACATGTAACATGAGACAACACTAAAATGGCTCAACCCTACCAAACCATGGCTTGCTCCACAAAGCGCACACAGCCCCAGAACTCCTTCTCCTATTCTGGCGTACGCTACCTATCCACAGCTTCGCAGGGGCATCGTGGCTGGTGGGACCGAAACCTTTTCACCTCAAATGGGATGAAGAAGCAGCAACAGAGTGCTCGGAGAAGCCATCAGGGACAGCAGATAGCCCATCTCCACGCTCAACTAGAGCCCTCCGTCGGGAAAAGAATTACAGCCGCATGGGGCGGGGGGGGTGTGAAGCTACCCCCTCCCCTACGCTGGCACCCTCAGGGGGCTGCCAAAGCAGAATGCAGAGCAGATGCAGCAGACACTGGGACACAAAGTGGGGTGCGGAAGACCCAAGGGAGGGGGTGTTTGCAGCCCATGAGGGTGTTGACCCAAGGGGGAGAGCACAAACCACGCTGTGGGGAGCGGCACGAGCGACATCTCACCCCGGGGGGGGGGGGGGGGGGGCGACACCA